GTTTGTGCAACACCAGAGATTTCCCCAGGACTGTCGGCGCTGAAAGCAGGAACCCGGTGAGCTCGAGGCTGGGCAGGAGACACCTGGGGCAACGGCCACTCCCAAACCGCAGCCAAGCGTGGGAGCCGGCAATTCCTTCTTCCACCTCCCGGGGGGGGGCTGGGGACTCCCACTCCCCCTGGGCGACATGGTGCCAACCCCTGGGGCAAAGCCTCATGCCAAGAGCAGAGATCGGGTCTCGCACACAGCCAGCATTAATCCACGCCCTCGGTTTCACTCTGCTTCTCCTTCCAGATGGGCACCAACAAGTTTGCCAGCCAGCAGGGCATGACGGCGTACGGCACCCGCCGGCACCTCTATGACCCCAAACTGGGCACAGACCAGCCCCTGGATCAGGCCACCATCAGTCTACAAATGGGCACCAACAAGGGAGCCAGCCAGGTAAGAGACGCAAGCCAAGGAGCAGGCGTGGGAGTGGGAAAGGGGCGTTAGCACCGTGGGGCTCCCCCCCACCCCAGCCTGCTGCCATCCCCAGGGGGGGGAACTAGCGTCTAGAGAGGAAAGCCTCCAGGTCCCACTTCCTGGCATTCCTGAGCCATCACGTCTGCGCAGCGTATCCCTTCCTGTTCAACTAACCCCCCGCCTCTCCCCGCAGGCGGGCATGACGGCCCCAGGAACCAAGCGGCAGATCTTCGAGCCCATGCTGGGCATGGAGCACTGCGACAGCCTCAACGTCTCCCTGCAGATGGGCAGCAACAAGGGCGCCTCGCAGCAGGGCATGACCGTGTACGGGCTGCCACGCCAGGTCTACGACCCCAAGTACTGCCTCCAGCCCAACTACGCCATGGTTGGCGAGGACGAGTACAACCACAGCCAACACAACTTCTACAACTCCGAATGAGGGGCCGGGCCGGGGCCTGGACTGATCAGAGACACACGCAACCAGGACGCTAGAAGAAACTTTTTAAAAAAAAAAACAGCAAGTGATCACTTTAAAAAAGAGGAATAAGAGGAAATCCCGACTGCTCCCCCCAACGCTAACCTGCTCACAGAGGGTCCCCCAACCCAGCTCCCCCAACCCTAGAAACAAACCCCAACCCCCGTCAGATTTCCCGCCCCCCTTATTTAAGTTGTTTTTCAATGTATAACCCAGCACTTGACAATGCACGGCCATAGAGCAAGGCTCAGTTCAATCAGGAGTAGTTGGGGTGGGGGAGAAGGGTAGATGTAGACATGAAAAGCCAGAAACATTAGTGCTTTTTCACCATTAGCACTAGTGTCTCGGCTCTGAGACACTCACCCCCCCCCCCCACCCAAGTGATCTAGAAATGCTGCCGCCCCCAGCCCCTTTCCTAAAGTAAGGGGAACAAACAAGTTGGTGAAATGAACCGGCCTACGATTGCATTCACTGCTCTAGGTAGAGTGCTTCCTGCTTGACTGTCCAGGTATCCCCCCTGCCCCCAGGCACCCACCCTGCAATCCCAGGTGTGTAACACCCCTAGCGGTAAAAAGCAACAGAGGGTCCTGTGGCCCCTTTAAGACTAACAGAAGTATTGGAGCATAAGCTTTCGTGGGTGAGTGCCCACTTCGTCAGACGCATGTACCTAGCGGTAGTGGTCTGAGCGGAGCAAACACGGGGGAGGGATGGGACTAGCAGTACAGAAGGAGACGGAGCACGTTCAAGTTTAAACACACGCACTCCCCGGTCTCTGTCAAAGGTTCTCCTAACATTTCTGGGCTTTGAAAAGGGACAGATGCCATTTCTGTAAATAAGATTCTCCGTGTGTGTATATAAGAGACCCACTCTATATACACCGCCCCCCCCACACACACTTTCCATCTACCACCAGGACAGCACCCTCGACTAACAAGTTTTTGTGTCGGCAGGTTTTCCAGTTGCAAGTCTAAGTGAGAAACCCTCCCCCCGCACACGAACACTGTTGAGCTCCTGGAAGGGTAACCTTGCTCATCCACCTCTGCTATTGCCCGTGTTGGTAGGAGTATTTTGGTGACAATGTAATGTATGGGGAAAATAAGAGTGTGAACTACTGAGATAAGCCACTACATTGCCTACAAGATGGGCTGCCTTTAAAAGCCTAGGAATATTCCCCTTACTCTGCATGCTGGCAAACTAAACACTTTTTAAAAAAAAACCCTCCAGATCAAGTGATTTATAAACTGATATTACAGCAGTTTGTAATTTTCTGCGGATGAGCACTTTTTAATCTCACTGTGGCACAATAAAACAAGGAACAAAAAAAAAAATCTATATTTTCTAAACCTATTTCTGATCTTATTTAAGAGCTTCCTGGACATTTGTCTTCGCTGGTGAAGCCTGCGTGTAAAAGGGAAGGTCAAAATGAGATCTAGTCAATTGCACAAAGCCAGTCACATCCAAGTCCTTTGCTCTGTTGCGGTTTGTGGTGCGACCACTTTTTCCACGTGCCGCTCTTGTGTGAAGGGACCTGTCTTGCGTACCTGTCTGGCCCAGCTTACCGTATTATTATTATTAGAGCACCTAACAGTAATCGTCAGCACAAATAACCCCCATTTTAGAGATGGAGAAACTGAGGCCTATTAAACTACCTGACTTGCCCAAAGCCACAACGGAAGGTTGTGGTGGGGCAGGACCTACCCCACATCTCTTGTCGGCACCCCAACCCCGGGAACATCCTTCTTCTCTACGGAAAGTGCTGTCAGAAGCACAGGCGAACCAGAGAGAGAGAAAAAACAACCTTTGTCTCCCCTCCCCAACGCTGATTTCTAGCACTCTTGGGTTTACAAGCGCATAGATCGGGTACAATGACGCGGACAGAGGTTCAGGCCCACGGCGTCCCTTTAACGGAGGAGGCTGCGTAGGCAATACCGACAGCTAGGCGGATTTCCCTCCTCCCAGGATGCCTGGGTGGACACAGGCTAGTTGGCAATGTCTGATCAGGCTAAAGATGAACAGTGAGTGTTGAAGTGCTTTGAAGATAAGAAGCGGTCTATAAATGCTCATTTTCCAGCATGCATCAATGGTAGGGATGAGTGAAGGCTCTTAAGCCCTGCCCTGGCTTTCCTCCCGGATGGATTTACCCCCTTTAACCCCCGTGCGGCAGGGAAGGGAAGGGCCGGCCGACCACAACCCTCCCAGCTCTGTCTGTAAACCCCATTACCAGCCGGTGCACAGGGCTCTAGCCAGTAATTCAGCACTTATACAGGAAGGCTTTGATACCCGCCCACAAACGCTGCCGGACACCTCACACCCAGATCCTTCAACACAAACTTGACACTTTAGATTCGGGGAAGCAGCCAGCTGCTCTGTTTGCCGTAAGATCGGCCACCAGGGGGTGATGTGTACACACGCAGGCCAAAGTAACCGCTTACACAGGCACATCATCCACCTCTGTCCTCCTCAGGCCGTCACAGGCAGCCGGATGCTCCTTAGACACCCCCCATCCCCCCTTAAAAGCCACATTACCCCTCAGAAGTCGAGACAAGCGCTTTGCAGGGCTACAGCGACGGCTGGATCTACGTCACAAGCCGTTGGCACTGCAGGGACAATCCCTCCATAACTCTTCTGGTTACAAGTCTCCGTACCAGGTCCAGGAGAGTTTGCGATTATGTTCTTGACATGACACGTAGCAGCCATAGTAAAATGCAAGCGAGACCCCGCGCGGCCCTGTTTCAGGGGGTTCCTGTTAAGGTCTTCAAAGGAAAGGGCAAATGGCACGGGTGCCTTGGAGGAGCGGGGTAGCCCAGCCCCACGGAGGTAATGCCGCAGCAGGGCTGGGAGTGGGGGGAAGAGAGACACGCCTTACCTCCCCCGTCTTCATCCGCGAAAGAAAACCGGAGTGTGGGAAGGAACAGCTTGCACGCCAGGATTTTAGAAGACCACACAAAGAATTGATGCTACAGGCCTGTTCTCCGCTTAAAACCAACACCGGTAAAGCTATATCGGCGGGGGGGGGGGAGGGCGAGGGGGGGGGGGGTTTGAAAAAACATAGCTATGCCAACAAAACCTCCAGTGTAGATGTTGACAGAAGACGGCTTCTGTCGACGGCGTTTGGGGAGGTGGTGTCCCTCCCCCCCGCAGGCTCTGGGGCCATGCGGGCATAGCCTAGGTCCCGCTTTGGTGCGGGGCCCTGGAGTAGACGACCTAGCGAGGTCCCGTCCAGTGCGACGTGGCTAGGATGCTATGCCACGCTACAGAGCCGGAGAAGGAAAGATTAAGGGAGAGAGGGAGGTTTAAGCACTAAGTAACCTCCTCCCTCCCCGGAGCACGTCGCATACTCTGCGCTGTTACTACCTGGCTGCCGCGGTTCAAGGCCACACTGGCTCAGGCTGGAAGTCAGGAGGAGCGTCTGAGTGACCGGCCTTTTGCCTCTGCCGGTGATGGGCTCATGCAAGGCCACAATGGCTACTCTGCCCTTCAAACCGCCATCTAGCTCAGGACGACTTGCAGGGTGTGCGCACGAGAGCCCCAAGCCCGGAAACAGGGGCGAGGATTTCCACGGAGGGACGTAGGCAGGCCTGGGGCACTGGAGACGGGAGGATGATAGCACAGGATAGCAGGGGAGCAACGGGCCAGAATGGAGAAGGACGAGCAAAGCTGTGCATGCAGGAAGTCTAGGGCAAGGATGGCAGGGGCCTGGGTGAGGACTGAGGGGCACGGGCAGAGCTGGGGGGACAGGGCTGGGCT